GGCTGGATACGCCCTCTAATGTATCGTTCCTTCCTCTGCTTTCCTGTGTGCCTAACAGGACTCCCTCAGCAGATTCCCTCAAGAGGTTCGTTCTCCTGCCTTTATAGCCACTTCTATTTCACTCCTTCAACACTAGGGTCTTGTCTTTGCCACAAAATATGGCATCGTCTACATAGACGATGATCAGCATGAAGCGACCATCTTTTGTCCTGTAGACAAATATTCCAGCATCGGATACAAGGCATTTACAGCCAAGTTCCTTTAGGGACTCATTGAGGGTGCGCCACCACGCAAGCCCTGCCTGCTTAAGTCCATATAGAGCACGCAGTAGCCGGAGTACTTTGTGCTCTTGGCCTGGTACTGCAAAGCCTTCAGGCTGCTCCATGTAAATCTCCTCGTCGAGCTTGCCATAGAGATAGGCATTTCGGACATCAAGTCCGGAGACGTGCATATCCTCAAGCGCAGCTAAGGCGAGGATACAGTCTCAAAGTGTACGACTGGAGAGAAGACTTGATCATAGTCGAGGCCTTCAATTTGGGAGTAACCTTTGGCGACCAATCTGGCCTTTTTCCGACCGTCAGTTTTGACGTCGAATACCCAGCGGTTTTTGGTGATTTTACATCCCTTAGGACGATCAACCAGTTGATAGACATTGCGTTTGCGAAGTGCCTCAAGCTCTTCACGACACGCTGTCATCCACTCCTCAAGCTCCTTTTTGGGTAGCTTTAATATATCGCGGAATGACCATTCTCTCGGGCTGGTCCCGTCTGGTAGATCGTTGTCGAGGGTGGGTAGCACTTTTGTAAGCAGCAACTCGACTAACTCAACTCCCCCTTCCCGGCATAATTCTGCCAGTAGTAACTCAGTGCTTTGCGCTTCATCCTCATCGGATGGGGCGGACTCGACAGGTTCATCACGTGGAGGAGGATTTGGCGCAGAACTAGGTCCGGGAACCTGTTGTTTTTGCTGCCTTTGTGGTCCGGTTTTGGTACGGGAGCTACCCGCATCCTCACCGACCATCTTTTTCCATCTCCCCTGATTTTCGATGTCCTTTACTATGTCTTGGGGCTTCCACTGCTCACCATAGACATGACCTCTACGAGTTACTGGTCTCCGCTCCCTTGCTGAACGTCGCGGCTCCACAGGGGGTGCAGGGTGTTCAACCGGTGCATGGGGCGGCAGTACTGGGTCTGTGGGCGCATCCTGCTGCTCCTGTTCATCGTCATGAACATGACCATTTCCCCTTTTAGGAAGGTGATGGTTTGGATGATCATCGTTGTCATCCTCATCTACCTGAGGTGTGGTGTGTGGTTGATCCGCTGGGATCATTTCTTCTCGAGGTGGCCAAACTCGAGTTGTGCCTCGACGATTAGTCAGAGGGCACTTAGGAAACATTGTTTCGTCAAACATCACAGTGGATGATCTGAACAAAACATTATCTGGTGCTCTCATAAAGAGCCACCCGCCAGCGCGCTCAGTAGAGCCATCTCCCCCAAGGTAAATCATCAGCTCCGATTTGGGCGATAGACCGTTTTTTCTAATGTCCTTGGGTATAAAGACGTACGCACTGCAGCCGAAAACGCGCAGGTGCGCCACAGATGGCGGCTCACCGTGTATCAATTCGTAGGGGGTAAGCCAATTAAGGCGATGAATTGGTGTCCTGTTGTAAACATGGACTGCATGATCCACGGCGAATTCCCACCAGGATGGAGGTAGACAAGCATCATGGCGCATTGCCTCTGCTTTGTCCATGAGCGTCCTATTGAAGCGCTCAGCTCTGCCATTCTCCTGAGGAGTATGCGGCGAGCTTTGAAGGATCTCTATGCCATTATCCTTTAGAAGGTCTTTGAATGCAGTGGAGACGTATTCTCCCCCTGCATCAGACATCCACTTCTGCACTGCATCAGGAAAACCGGACCCCGACAAAGAGCTCATAGGGCACCCTCAGTGAGCACGAGGGTCACTTATGAGACTTGATCTGTGATCGGATCACAATGTCTCAGGGATGAGCCTTGGTGAGACGCGTAGCTCGAAAATGAGCAACAGTGAGACACCAGCCTCATGGGTCATTGATTGGTAGACTGACATCTCAGACAAGAGCCTCTTGTTCGTATGGGACTGTGGCGGAGTTGAAGCTAGTGCCACATCGCACCGGTGGTGCTTGTCGTGGCTGTTTTTCATGAATCCTGATGCGAGCGAGACACTTATAGGTAAGTTCGAGTAGTATTAGGTGACGAACACATCAGAGTCCAATATAAATGGCGGTAAACATTACGGTGAACAGCGGCAGAATAACATAAAGGGCTGGTGTCTGCAGTGGTGCAGCAGCAAATGGAAGTGAATTACTAATGTACTACTTCATCTCATGTCGTGAGATGCTATCTCACGCCATATATTTGGTGCATATTGCTGCTCACCCGAGACCATTTGTGAGTTGACAGCCTGCATCGCTGCCACTAGCGCATCCACAACTCAGCTCAGCACGAGCACCGCAGTGTGAAGTCCTTGTATCAGAATAATTGAACTATAAGATGTGTCCTCAAATTTGAGCACCTGTGAGCCTACGACCTCATACATGATCCCACGACCTCTCGATTGCTCTCGCACGAGACGATGATCTCACGACTACATATTGGTGAGACCCCTTGCATATATTCAAGGGGACCGCGATTCCTGATGTTGTAAAACAGCATGATAAAAAAGTCTCCAAGAAAGAGAGCTTCACTGATATACCTCGAGCCAATTTTCCTGTCTTGAAGGCCTTGAATGGCACTCGAAAGATCCTCGACCAACCCTGGACCCTCCTCGAGCGGACGTAGGTAGCAATCGGCCGCGAGTACGCCGACTCTTACCATACACGGCATAGCGCCGTCACTTCCCCCGGGTTGGACGAAGCTGCAAGGCTGCGCAAGGGTCTCCGTTGGTTCTGTCTATTCAATGCATCAATGCATATTCAAGACATCCTTCAAGTAGTGTAATGTGTTTTCCCAACCACTAAGGAGTCGGGGAGCAATCTCTTATATAATACTTGAGAGATATGGAACACAATATTCAGTTTTCATCACGTGCACGTGCACTGTGTCCCACAGCGGTCCTTCGAATGAACTTCATGTCTTCGGTCTGACCCATCTCACAACTATCCCTGCCCAACCTGGGTGGTCATGTCTCTCCCTCCCTTGACCCCGCCTTCGCGCTCTCGCACACCTATTCCCCGACCGCCGCCTTCGCCCCTCCGGGCTACGACCCCCGGGTCGCCCAACACCCCCACGCCCGCGAACATCCGTCGCATATCCGGCACCAGTCCGCTCGTGCCCACCCACTCGTTGTCGTCGTCCCCGCCGCCAGAGCGCGCCAGAGTATCACCGCCAAATGCGACGGACCGACAGAAGACGCGTGCGCGGGATTTGCTGCGGAAGCACTACGGGCTGGGAGTAGGACCGCCGCCGCCGCTGGGCGGGTCTGGCAGGGCAGCGGACCCGATGGATTTAGGTGTGTATATCGTATGTCGTGTGAGGATGCGTGCATGACTAGCCTGTGGTAGACTCGTCTGCATTCGACGCGAAGGCGTACTACGAACAGCTCATCACAACAGCTTCCCTGCCTGCGCTGCTTAAGCGTGAGAACGGCCTTCTCTCGGAGATCCGGGAGCTCGACAGCGAGCGGCAGAGCTTGGTTTACAACCACCACCACGAGCTCATCGCCGCGAGCGATACCATTGCCGCGGTACGTCTGGCCACTAGTTCCTTCGATGGCGCTGCTTGCTCATGGCAAGCACAGATGAAATCTCGCGCGGACCACCTCGATGCGGACCTTGACCTGTTACGCGCAGCGTTCTCAGAAATATCACGCCTGTCGACAGAGATCACCGGGCGCGACTTATAAGCGGTCTTCGTAAGGCTGTTCTTTACAACATGTCGACGCTACCGACACACACTAGACACAAGGGAGCGCGGGGCACAGCCATCACTCAATATTCGGTGCTATAGTATGTACTGCCCTCGACACTATGTGGGCGTCAGCACGCCCGCACCCGCGGCTAGAGTTCCAGTCGATGCGTCCACGTACGGCATATCTTCGCAAGGTATTCACATATCAGTATATGTATACTTGAAGCGTTACAGCACATTGATACCGAATCATCATCAACATCTCAGGACATTCGCACTGGACTTCTTGTTCTCTCTTGAGATTATTGATGTATGAGAACGAAGACAGCTACAGGTATAGTGACTGCAGAGCAATGTCGATATATTGTTCTGCAAGGACACAGGCTCATTCCTTACATCCCTGCCATCGACTCTCCCGACTGATCTCATGCAGCTCGCAACTGTCCGTGGAAACCGAGAATCACGACCAACACAATTGGTACACTCTGGAGGCCACTATCTGACCTCTAATAAAGGGACTGCGGTCAACCTCTCGCACCAGCACATTCCTTCTTATGCTGGTGTCCTACAAGCTGACTCAAAACCTCGGTACTCCAAAGTGAGATGAATCACCTAAAGAAGTTTGCGATGTGAGCCTCGACGCGCTCGCCGCGATCAAGGTGCACCTGTTCTTCCAGTAGAGACCGTTCGTCAAGTATCGCCGCGAGCACAGTCAACGGTTTCGGAGTATATACATACAGGCACACGACCGCTCGCCTGCAGAAATCACGACACTGTCCTACAGAACATCGTGCACAGGTACCATCCTGTTCAGGCCCTGACGGTGTACTGGTTGTTGCAGCACGGATCGCCTCGTTCGGACGTGAGCAACGGTGTTTGTGGCATAGGTCTAACCCGCTACCAAAGGGCCTCAACCTCGTCGGGTATGACATCATGGTGAGGCACCAGAGGATGGACGCTCTTGACTGGGTAGTCCGTGTCGGTTGAGTGAAAATCCGGGCCTTTTCAAACGCTATGCAAGTACGGCACTTGAAGTTGGTTTAATGGGCGTGGGCGGACGGGTCGAGGGGTGAAGGTCACGGTTATGGCTACTACATTGCCAATTGGGTTCAGGGCACTATGGCCGAGTGGTTAAGGCGAGAGATTCGAATGGTGTAGGCTTATCTCTTCCGCGTTGCGGGCGCAGGTTCAAGTCCTGCTGGTGTCGTTTTTTCAAAGACTGTTTTCATACTTTCTGGTCTCGGCACAATCCATTGGCGGATCATTGCCACAATACTTACGTGATTCATTTTGTGCACAGGCAGCAGACTTCGCGCCCTCGGGCTAGGGATTTCTCTGCGTAGTACTTGAAACACGGCATGATGATAATGGTATGTCCGCATCAATGATAATCTACTCCAGTCAGTTTGCACGGTATTGTAATATGCGCGTACAACAGCGTGCAATGTCTTGATTAGGCGCTCATCTCGGAAGGAGGCCTCAGATCTCGGATCTCGGCGTCTGTCATTGGACAATGGGGTTCCTGAAGGTTGCGGCCAGGCTGACCTACATATTTTCCGATTGTGCAATCTGCCTCTCAGCAATTTACTGTCGTAGAGAACCAATTTTATTCATTTTGTGGCTGCTAGCGACCCACAGGGCACTTACTACATGCCGCAAATTATCAATATCGATTCACGTGATCGGGTTGCTGTGGCGGGCGGTTAGTTGCAGCCACATCGCTTCACTCGGACGTTCATCTCTACCCTCTTCCACGCGGCGTCCTGCCTTCAGCGCAGCATCAGGTGGCCGAACCAATCATCGTAACAGCTGCTTCCATAACAGTCGAACCAAAGTCCACTCATATATTATCCGCTAGCCTCGGCTCGCTTGGGATTCATATCGGCACGCTTCTCGAGCAGCGAGAGAAAACGAGGCTCTCCTGTGCCTGCCACTGACTTCCAAAAAAGGACGGCTGCTTGTACTCTGCCATATCACTGCCACATATCCCGTCGCCATCACATCTTCACGGATCCATATTTAGTCCAGCCATGTCGCCTCCAACCTCCCCGTCCCCGTCATCGCGCTCCAGCACCTCCTCGACAAGGACTTCTACCTCCTCTGCTCGCATTTCCTCTCAGTCCAGCATGCAAGGCACCGAGCGTACACACAAGTCAGCTACCACGGGCCTGTTCAAGAAAGACTTCAACCGGGGCAGCGAACTGAACAAAGACTCGTGGGCCGCGGAAATTAGCGGGAAGATTGGCCTTTTCAATGAGCCACTCACTGAGTTCTTCCTGGACTATGTCCCGCGCTACAGTGATGCTGACCATCCCCGCCCGTGGACTGACCCCACCGAGGTCTTCAAGGCGGTCCCTACCTATGGCAGAGAGACTAAGAAGTACCGTCACTTCGTAAGCGCTTTGGCTCTGTTGTGATCTTCATGCCAGTGGTACTGATACAATGAGCCAGATCGGAGGTCTCGAGCAGCTAGTCTCCACGTTCGACGATGTTCGACGGCCGAAGTTCATTGACGGCAGTAAGTGCGCCGTGCCGTTCCCGTTCAAGGACTGGGAAGATGAAAACCACTACACCCTACCCGACATCTTGATGTCCTTTCCCGGCGAGCACGACCAGGACGATACATGGGCCAAGACGTGGCACCGAATCGCGATGGTCTTCGAAATCAAGACCACTCACGACCCGATCAACGAGGCCGCACCCTGGCCTTCCGTCCGCGACAGTAATAAGGCAAGGGATGATCTAGTCCAGCTGGCAAAGAGCGCACGCAACCTGATGCTAACGCATGGCATGCTCTTTGTGTTTGCCGTCGGGGTCTACGGTGACTGTGCGCGCATCTACCGCTTCGACCGCGCTGCGTGCGTTGTGTCGCGGTCATTCAACTTCAAGACGAAGCCTTGGCCACTGCACGAACTGCTCTGGCGCATCTGTCACTACGAGGCCCCTGTTGGTGGTGTGCCTACTGCACCACTCGTTGCCAGGCTTCTCGGAGAGGACCCGACGCGATTCCGGGCATCCCCGCAGGACGTAGACTTGGCGGACGAGAAGTGCAAGGAGACCGGGCAACCTCCGCTTTCGGAGGCTGAGCGACAGGCCTGTTGGTGGGTGACCATCACCAAGACCGACAGCGACGGGAAGCCCAAACCGACGCGTATCCTCATCTATCGTGTCCGCTCCCTCAACCCGCGACTGTTCACGCGCGCGACGGTTGTATCGGATGGCTACGAAGAAGGGACATGGAAGCGGGTCGTGGTCAAGGACGCGTGGCGACAAGTTGCTCGCGGCCGAGAGGACGCTTTCTATGACCAGATTCGCGAGTCGATGCAGAATCGGTCGTGGAGCGACATCCTCGACGACTACAGACTCGTGCATCGCAGCGAAGAAAGGTGCGGGATCCCGCCAGCACCCCTTGGTCCGTACAAGCTCAGCGCGGAGGGTCCATACGACTTGCCGCCGGGCTTGGAGGAAGCCCTCGCTAAAGCCAGCCAGGACCCCATGATCAGCGATATCTTTGGCCTTGCGCGTATGACGTACGGCGACGACCTTGGGGAACGTGAAGTGGCTAAACTCGTGTGCGCTGAAGATGGCAGCTATATTTGGCCAGCTGATTACGAGTTCTATCACCGTACAATATGCCGCGGGAGGCCAGAGGACGCCACCTCTGAACAAAACGAACGCAGCCATATGCGACTTGTATTCGAGACGGTCGGCCGGCCTCTTTCGCAGTTCAAGTCGACGAAGGAGCTCATCAAAGCCCTTCGGGATGCTATCTACGGTAAGTCTTCCCCTCTATCCGTGCATGTCGTCACACTGATATGTGTATGCAGGCCACCGACAGGCGTTCCGCGCTGGCATCATCCACCGCGACATCAGCGAGAACAACGTCATGCTCAACGATGACTTTTCAACGTTCTTGTTTGGGTTTCTTCTCGATCTTGATTATGGCTTCAACTGGATGGCGTTACTGAAACAAGCAGGCTGGGAAGTGACCGAGGATAGCTGGAAGCGGTACGTGGAGGAATATGACCGCAACTTACCGAAACGTCCACGCCCTGCACCTCGTGAAGGTATCCCTCCCATGGGCGCTGCCAATCTGGATGGTATGACGGACAAGGCCAAGGCCGAACTGGCGCACTGGATAGCTAGGATGAAACTGAAAGAACGCACAGTACGTACCTTCATCAGTAAATCGAAGATGGGGCTGATCACTTCGTTGTAGGGCACCCTCTATTTCATGGCTATCGAGATATTGGAGACGAACGTCACGCATGACGTGCGTCACGACCTCGAGTCGTTCTTCTGGCTCCTACTATGGGCTGTCTTGCGATACACGACCACCACGTGCGACCCGCCCAACCAACTCTATGCGACCGTCTTTGGCTCGCACACAGATGCCCTTAGTGCCTCCGTGAAGGCCCGCTTCCTCGGCAACGATATGGATTGGGTTGTCCAGGATAACAAGCCGCTTACTACTCTTGTCCAGAAGTTTAAGAATCTTTGCTGCTTGTCCGTGCAGTGGCCCTTGACACCCAACGCAGCGGTGCCCCTGACGTACGAAGCCGTTCTGGAGCTCTTCGACGAGGCCCTCGCAGACCCTGATTGGCCGCAGAACGACCCTGCGCTACCTTTCAAGATGCCTACGCATGCGGCCACGACCGCTACCCAAGGCGGTAGCCGAGTCACCGGCTCTCGCGGGGGTGGGAAACGCGAGCTTGAATCTTCTGAAGAAGACGATGATCCACAGTCTCAACCTCCTCCAACCAAGCGGCGGAACCGTGTCACTATACGACGCATGCAGAACCCCGTCGCGGGCGGTGTCTAGACAGCCGTAAGCATTGTACCAGCGGATTCACTCTGCGTCGTCCATCACTTGTACTCTCGCACTTTGCATCTCTTGTATTTCAGCACACACGTCGTTCATCGCTCTCGCACCTTTCCATCGCCTCTACTCCGGCAGAGCACGTAGTGACGATATGTCGACGTTTGCAGAATGATACTCATCCATCTCTTTCATTGTACATAGCTTGCCAAGAATTGTATCTTTTTCCCCACACACGGATTCGGATGCGTACTTCTCATTCATCTATGCAGGTATGTTCGTCTGCGTCTAGATCACTCGGTACGTGACCTTTCGTGTTGGGATTTGATCCCAGCTCCGTTACACGAGATTCGAACCCTATTTTACAGTACGCTCGCGTTCCTAGATCCATCCTTTCCCCTTGAATTGCTCGATGATGTCGCGCGTCGACTCGTCCAGGTTGAGATACCGGAATTCGAGCAAACGGTCCGCTTTGGAGGTGTCAAAGGTAGTCAGGTGCGTCGCCTTCTCCGGGTCATATGTCTCATCGCCGGATGGGATGTTGGGGTAGAACTTCTTTGCTGCGTTGACTGTGGTCCCGTTGTCAGGCCAACCCGTCTCCCGTGAAGTTTGAAGTAGACTGGCACTCACCGAGATCCTGTCCTTTCCAAGGACCCTGCGAGACGATGATGCGCTCCCCACCCGCCTTCTCCTTCTCCCCCGCAACAATCAAAGCCTCCGCGACATCCCTCACGTCGATCCAAGTCATACTACGGGTAAGTGTCACCCACGACCCCCTTCTCAACGACAATCAACACACTCACCCGTACTGCGAGTACCACTCCTTCCCGAGAGGGACCCCAGAGCGATCCATCCCCTTGATGACCGCTTCGTACCAGATCCGCATACTCTCATTCAGCTGCTCCGGCGCGCTCACAGGCTGGAGCGTCGGGCCGAAGATCCACGGCGGGTTGCACACGACGAGGTCCCAAGGGATCTTCCCCTCATGCTTCCCGACGAACTCCCACGCGGCGCGCTCCGCGAGGACCTTGCTCGCCTGGTACTTCTCGAGCTGGCCCGCCTCGCGCCCCCGTGTGCGCACCTCCGCGACCGCGCGCTCGTTCCAGTCCGCCTCGCTGAATTGCTTCGGCGTGGTAAGGCTCTCGCGGACCGCGCCGCATGTCGAGGTATAGACGACGCGCTTGACAGAGGTCCCGTGCGTGAGGGCGGCCTCGAGAATGCGGAGGGTGCCGGTCACGGAGGGGACGATATACTCGTCGGGCTCGACCGCGCCCAGGTGCACTGTCGCGATAGTGTGCTCGATCAGGTCGACGTCCTTGACGGCCTCGTCGAAGGCGCCCTCCTGGTGGGCATCAGCCAGGTCAGCGTGTGTATATTCATGAAGAGAA